TATACATTAGACGAAACATGTTAATAACGTTACGTAGAGAGGATTGTGATAGGATTAGTCGTTTGTTATTAGTTGAAACTGAGTTACGAATCCCTTACTTCAGACGGTTAATTGATTTCTGGTAGTGACGGAAGCGGTCTAGTTGGCGGTCATAGTCGCGTAGGATAAGATTATAGCGTGTGAGAGCGTTACCTGCTAAATTAGGAAGATCTCCTAGTAAACTAGTAGTAGGGTACTCTGGTTCTTTAGGTGGCTGCCTGAGGTATTCGACTGCCACTTCGGGGTTTATGTAGACCCATAGTCCCCACGTAATTGCTTAGTCTTTGACTGCTGTATACCACTGAATCCAATCGGCTGAGGTCCTTAGCTAGAAGACCAGCTAGTTAGTTTCTGACATAGTGGTAAATAGTAGGTAGGAAGCAATTGAAAAGATAGAATAGAACAAATTGGTTAAGTAAACAAGATAGAAGGTATAAGATCAAAGGTCAAAGGTATACGACCGGCAAGAAGGGCCAAACCAACAGAATTCCGCAAATCGTGCGATCTGATTGGTCAAAGTCAAGGCCGTCGGTCGGGGGGTTAAGGTCTTTTGTCTAGTTTGAGACGGTCGGGCTCATAACTTATAGATCCTAGTGTATCGGGGGCTTATCCATATAGGACGAAAGGGGACTAGGCAGTAGCTTCCTCTTGGTCATAGGATCCTACTGTCTAGGAAAGGAAAGAATGTCTTGAGAACAATAAAGTCGATTGAACTGCTGGCTAAACAGTGGTGTAAACGAGCGTTTAAATACACGATTTGCAGTGGTTTAGGCAGCAAGGAAATAGGGCAGAGATCTAATAATCTGATAGATCTTAATGCAGGATAGAAATGTGTAGAAAGGACGTCGGGATCCTTAGTCAAATAGCCAATTAGGCCATGGTCGATATCTCTGTTGAAGAGATGCATATAGAGGGGCTTTCTGCAGGGGAAAAACAATGGTCCGGCCCGGCAGGCTGCCGGGCCCTCAGGCAACACATAAGCACACACACATAAGCATATACCCCCACACACCCACATAGGCTGACACTATATCTAGTCTATAGCTTTAATATTATATCGTAGCTTCGTGTTAGCGACTTAAAAGAACGTTAGGTTATAGGCTAGGTTAGCTTAGCTATTAAATATAGTTAGCTAGTAGCGTGGTTAGTAGCCTAAGGAACGAAATTATCTATTTACGGGACCTATAGGCGCAAAATTCGGAAGATAAGTAGTTCTTACACTAGAAAGCCTAGGGCACTCTAAACAATTAATAGGGAATAGGATAAATAGGGCTAGTAGAAGAAAATATCACCCTAAGCCTACGCATAAGACCACGAGCTGAAAATAAATACCTATACACCGGCTTATTAAAGCAATCAGACTCGTTCGTATAGATTAAATAGCTCTGCACCTAGAAGGCGTAAGAAGGTAGAAGAAGCGAAAGGCGTTTAAGGATAAAAGTGACAGAGGACTAGTTTTAAATCGGTGACTCACCTCGAGGGGAGGTTCTAGCCCCACTTCCTCGTCGCACTGATCTGCATCACGTGCATTTCCTAATAGTCGAGGATCTCCCACTCTCGTAGCATCGACTCAGCCTTCAAAGCCTTCAAGCTAGCTTTGTGCAAACCCACGGATTGTAACCCCTTTCACTCGGTTCCGTTTCAGGGCACTTTAAACCTTTGAGCTCATTGTAGACCCACCCCCGGGCCAGCCTCCCAAACACCAAAGGCCAACAGTCTTTGTATCTAGGTTTATGCCTTATCACAAAACGTTGGTTTTCGGGCTATGGGATGCGGGCTAGTTTCCCATCACCTAGTGTTAGTCTCCCCCTCATACTGTAGCATGTCGCAGGTCAACAAGCTGTGCAACAAGATCAGAGGCCATTTCCCCATGATCATCCGAAATATGCCGAAATCGAGTATTCTCAACCAGGGTGTCCGCCTCGCATGAGATATAGAGAATAACCAACATTCTTAGGGAAAAAAAATCCATCTGGCTCTTGTCTACCTGTCTGCTCGTAGGTATGTTCTAGCAGATCAAGGATATGTGTCATAGTTCGCCCGTTAAGAGGAAAGTTGCAAAGGTCGCGATGAAGTGACTTCAAGCTCATATGGGAAAGCTCTCGTTAAGGGATTTTTAGCTATTGCAAAGACTTGATTGGCCCAAATTTACTCCCAGTTCCACTTTGGAGTACCATAAACTTGATCTGCCTACAATGATCTGCGCTACAGTATTATTGTACTGTATCTGCACGAAGTACTCTGTACTCCTTCAATCCTGTTGCTGATTCTGGCCGCTGATTCTGGCCGCCTCATACATTTTCAAGCTCGAAGAGACTCACGATAACATCATCACGCCCAGTATACAGCCTCTCATACTTCGCCGCTTCATCATCAATTGGTGACGCGCTGCGCACGCCGATGCCCTGAAACGATGAAGAAAGCGAGAAATATAACAACAAGTGAATGCGCACACGCTCGAACTTAATCTACCTCCCAGTCGTTTCTGTACTCGGTGTTCGACTGAGGTAAGAATATCCTCTGCGGCTCCCTGTGGGCACCGAATAAAATCGCGGCAGGCGTGTTTAGGCATTGTTGCCTTAGGTCGCTACTTCAATCTATCCAACATTTTAGCCAGGGGACGAACAGGCTCGGCCACGAGGCAAATGATGATCGCTGACTTCTTCACTGACCCACTATGCCATTCCCCCGAAATTGACCGTTCTATGTATTCGAAATTCTGAATGCGCATGCCTGAAGTCTCATATTTACGAATATATTTTCAGGTTAATTCATTCACCTGCAACGCAATTTTCCCGCCGTTAAAATAAAAGTGAAGGTTAATCCGGATGGATTCAGAGATTAGACTTCAGGGGCGAGAAAGAGTAAGTCTGGTTGTATTGGGGATAGATTCTTTAGACGCTATCTTTGCTCCTTTACTGTAAGGTCATGAAGCCTGCATGGCTGCTACTTATTTTTCCGGAACCTTTGAATCTCGATATGCGCCATGAATTTATCCATCCAGTATTGACCGTTTTCTCCTGTCATTGGAACATGGCCTTGCATGCGATCCTTTGAGTTCGGGAGAGGGTTCGCCGTGACTTGCTTGAGCAGCAAACGTTGGACGAGCCCCTTTCGGCTCGGCTGCTGAACGCAGCCCGGCGTTATATCCATCGGCAGAGTTCAGCGTAAGAGACCCAAATCGACTGCTATAACGCTTCTCTGTCAAATGGTGAAGTGCTTCCTCCGTCATGGAACCAACCAGTTGCGCCGAGTTGCCCTTAGATACGGCTTTCTTGACTTCAAACAGATCAGCCAAAGTAGTCACCACCACTTGGTCGCTGTCACCGTCCGCAATGACCTCTCCGACTCTATATATCTTCTGACGTGAAACTTCTTTTGCCGCTTTGCATACCTCTAAGCACTGCATAGAGGCATTGATATCTTCTTGTAAACGAGACCTCTCTTTCTCATCACGAGGTCTGTTCTTCAAGACTAGGCTCTCTAGGCGATCTTGAAGTTGATTGATGATTGCCGAGAAGTTATCCTGATTCTCGTTCAGGGCCTGACGTGTGAGTAATTCGGCTTCGAACCAATCTTGTTCATTGTCCTCAGTGCTGTCTTGTGGTCGGTTTTGCGGAAACGAAAATTTTCGGTTTGCCAAAGATTCGATATAATTTCTGGCATCTTCGCAAACACGAAGACACTGTTTGGTAACTTCTCGTTCGTCATCTAAGCCGATGGTTGAATCAGACGTCCGTATGCTGTCGTAATTAACCCGTTCCATCTTCTCATCAATTCGCTGCAGATGCACCTCGAGGTTATAGGACGTGTCCTGAATCATCTCGTTGTACTGCTTTAGGACTTGCTGGGACACTTTGGCATTATGTCTAATAAGCGCGTTAGATATGCACCTCGAGCAAAGCAGGTTTAACCAACATGTTCAGGGTTCCTAAACCGACGGAAATTGTCGACTTATAACCAGATATAGTATCTATAAATTCATGGATATCTCCTCTCATGAATTCCATCTTGGTCCAATCTCGAATTCCCGTCTTGGATTTCCGCCAAAAAGACTCCATGGACTGTTCGAACTCTCGGCAAACTTTGCTACATCGATCAATCGGCCCATGCAGGAGCTCCAACATTGAGGTCTCTGTGTCAAGAACTTGCTTCAAGGCGTCCAAAATTTTGCCAAGATCTTGGAGCTCATCCTGAAGCCTTCCAAGGGTTTTGTCACGACCCCTATAGCGTGAAACAGCATCGTATAGTGATTTCGTTGATTGAACCGCAGCTGTAATAACAGCAAGTGCCGAAGCAGTAATGCTCAATGGATCCGCCATCGCGCAACTTTGTTGTAAGACGTCTTTGTAGTTCTATCGACGGAGGGAGAAATAAATCTAAGGAGGAACGTCCCTCTGTGAACCAAGGGCGGGCATGTTCAAATACCTGCCCCGCCCGTCCTTATTCAGGTATATCACGTGCCGCACATTATTCGCCAGATTAGCGCCATGGCTGTGCTTCGGTGATTACCACCCGCATCGATGGTGTTTCCAAATCCAATCAATCTATGTTCGCAGTCCTGTAGTGGAGCAGCATGATTAGACCCTCTGAAGAGTTAGGGATATAGGAGCTTCCTTCGTTCTTGCACACTACACAGTGCAGTGGGGTTCGCTTAAAGCTGGGAGGATTTGGCCGGGATGGCAACGTGGATGGCCACGTGCCTTGTATTTCTTCAATAGGACAGACCACCTGCGCCGGAAGGGTGGAAATTCTCGAAACAGACAAGGAATCTTGCCTTTATTAGATTTGAAATTCTGTGGTTGGCTGATCGCTACTCCTTTCTCCACCTTGGGGAGCCATCTCTTCTCTTTTAGAACATCATTTTGCAGTTCGAGAGTCACCTAGTTTTTTTGCCAGCTCTGTAGGCTCATCTACGCTCATTCCTAGGAGCTGATAGGGCTACATAACGCAAACACTATTGTGGTTTTGAGACTGAAAGATGGCAAGCCAGTAGGACAATACAGAGTGTAACTATCTCTGTCAAAGGCAACTTTCGCCTAGTCTGAGGATGGCGCCTACGCCACCTGCCTCTCCACGGATTCTTTAGGGGGCATCATACTGAAATTCTGATATCCCTGCGCCTCAAAATAGTGGCCGTCGGCGATTTTTTGCGTACCGTCACTGAAAAGGTTGTACTGGCGATTATTGTCGCCATACTGATTGGCAGAGTTGGGATGCTCGGCCAGATCGGACTCGGTAAGTGTTGGGGTCGCTTTCGCCAGCTGCTCTCGAGCATCTGCTAATAGCTTGACCTGCATTTGTATCTCAGTCGGAAACATATGGTGTGAAAAAAGAGCTTCCAGATCCTCCAAAATGCCATCCATCAACGTCTCGACTCGAAGCTTGCCTTGCTTAATAACAATTGCCCGATACACGGAAGAGTCGTATTTGACCTTTGACTTCTTTGCAATTTTCTTGAAGATCTCTTGCAGCTTGTCGGCCTTTTCATCGCAGCTATAGAGGATAGTCTCTAGCGCCTTGGCCTCGTTGGAGAATTTGAGTTTCTTTGCCGGACTCTTTGCATCTCGAAGGGTTTGTTCCATGAGCGGAAGCAATTTTTTCACTTCTTGGAAGGCTTCCGGTAGGCCATGGAGGTCTTTAATGGGGTCATAGGCCTCCGCTATGCCTTCTGCAGCCTCGATAAGGACTGCAATATGGTGGGGATGTACTAAGCCGGACTCTTTCAGAAATTGTTGGCAGTCGCTTTTCCCTTTGGAATTCCAATAGAAGTCGAGCATTGGCTGTCTGTATTGGAGGTTCCTGAAATATTTTCGGAGTTGTTGTCGCCGCTCTAGAGCACAGTAGAATACCGGCTCCCCTCCGTTTTCATCCATCATGGTATTTGGACAGAGGCCCCCGTTCGAACAATGCTGAAACGTACCGTTTTCATTGAATCCAGCGTCACAGTTCGTTGTGTCGGGAGAGAGCTTTTCTATCTCTCTTTGTATATCTGCCATCTCCAAGGTATAATTGATTGGAAGCACTACAACTTCGATTTCTTTGTTGCTTTGTGTTCGTATAGCATGAATCTAAGATTTTTGTCAGATTCTTAACATTGACCATTCAGCAAAAGTTAACTAACCTTGACCTCCTGGATTTTGACGGCGGAGCGCAGAGAGATACGCTTCCACCATCCGCGACAATTTCTCAGACTATGGATTTCGATTCCATCTTCGCCTTGTTTGATAGGTATATCCCTAGCAAGGAAGCGGGATCCTCGGCTGAAACATATCCATATGCATGATTCATAACCATTTTTGACTGCCTTTTCGCACAGGCTTTTAATATTCGATGATCTCGCATTGGATTCTGGCGCAAGAAAAGGATTGTATTCTGTTTCCTTGACAGAGTCTATCTCACAGGGACTCTCGTCAGAACCAAACAATTAAATTCAGTTGGAACACCAACTCACCGTGCGTTATGGTCAATTCGTCAGTTCCGTTTGTGGATTCAATGCTCATTATGCCTCGATATTGAGAGTATTCTTGGTCTTGGATTGTTTAGTTGGAGAAATGCGGGCGGAGCGGTGCTTATATGCGTAGCACTATACTAAAAATAACCTTTGCGAGATAAAAGTCTCAATGTTGTGATTGAATTTACATTGGCGCTCAGGACCGACGGCTCAAACATTTCAAGGCGGTGGCGCCAATACATGGGCGTTCTTGCACCGGGAAGATTCTCCTACGCTATCACCGCCACCGGGCATACTCGCTATGAACCGTCTTCCTCCACAAGTGATTAAGCACAGTTTTCCAATAGGTTCAGTGCGGGCGCTAAGAGTGGCGGAGGGTATAAAATGGCTAAAAATACGAAAAGAAATCTTCCAACTAGAAAGACTTTCTTATGTGGCTGGCAATCTTGAAACAGCCTATAGCACAAACGCATCAGATTCGTAATGCTACATATAGGTTGGCGGCAAATGGTTGGCGAATAAAATGCCCCTTGTACTCGGTCGCATCCACTGTCGAAGATATTAGACCCTGCTCTGCGAGGTCGATACTATTTTGGTATGATATACCATGGCGAGAGCTTTGAAGTGACGAGCTGAGCGATTCCCCCGACTAAATTTGCCTTTTTTAAGAAGAAATCTTTCATAGAAAATTGCTTTTCCGTCAAGGGAGTAATTTATAAAAGCGGATCAATTATTCAAATAGCAAAGATGACGTAAATATGTGGGCTCACCCGAGTGCGAACAAAACTACGCATACACATTATAGCTAGCTAATGTTCTTTGCTTGTTCTTCCGATGCCACAGATTCCCTTAATACAGCCAGTGTTCAATCAATATAGTAACAAGGATGGTTCGATATACTGTTAGTCAGCTTCACAAAGTTCAAGAAACCCCCTCTTTGCGTTCTCAGAGGATGAATGCAGGACGAACTGCTCCTGCTGAGTAGCCACGCGAATGAGAGGTTCGAACGGCATTATCCGCTTAGTGGCTTTCACAGAAACTCTCTATGAGGTGCAACTATCAGTCTTAATATCATCATGGACTACTTCCCACTAGAGGCGGACGTTTGAGGGGCCACTAGGTTCTAACACCCGCATTTAGTTTAGTATACTAGTAACTTATAAGTAGTCTAGCTATAGATTGTCGATAGGACCGCGGATACCGTGGGTAGTGCTCTAGTTTTCCGAAAACCGAATCTTACTAGTAAATATACCTAAAAAGTCCCCCTTACGCACGGGGATAATAGAATAGGCGAACAAAGAGCTAGTATCTTTAGGTAGGAGAAATGTGAATATAGACTTATCTCCTTTAGAGTCTAATACTAATTAGTAGCTAGAGGGTACGTATAAAACTTTAGGAGAGAAAGTCTATAAGCCCTTTTTCCTAAAGCTTTCTTCTTCACTAGCGAAGGCCTATTTATTTTTAGTATTATTCTAGGAGGACTCGTGAACTTTTAGCCTCTCTTTAACTTAGGGGTTCTTAAGATTAGATAGGCGTATAAGGTTACCTTTCGCGAGTCTAAGAGCCCGCGTTTCTAGTTATTCGATATAAGGTCTATATTAGGTCTCCTAATTTATCACTATATCTATAAGGAAGATTTTTAACGTCTTCGGATATCCCTTATAATAGCTGTCGAATTCTTTAGTACGGTAATAGAGAACTTTGTTAATACTAGCTTTACGTATTTAGAAGAGGGTTTTCTAGAAAATTATTATGATATTTCGATGAGACTATTCACACACTGATATTAGGGCCTTAGGCATGCTTAGACCGAGGGTTCTGCTAAGGCGGTAGCTATCCGGCGGTTAGTCGGTGGCCCCTCGGCCGCGATACGCGATAGCCACGCTGTATGTAGGCCGTACCTATAGTATGTGCTATACGTTGGCTATGCGGTGGCCTTTCGCTATGGTTTCCCCCTTACTTCGTGTTTGATTCCTATTTATATAAAAGATGATATATTTAAATAGATGCTTAAGGAAGTGGGATTTATCTTCCTTAAGAAATAGTCTTTATCTTAATCTAACTTAGTGCTTTCCTCTCCTACCTAGTTAATAGGCTATCTACCCTATAAAGTAGATACTTCCTTAATAATTCTGTTTCTTCTTCTTTAACTACCTAGGAGAGATAGTACCTAGGACTCGCTCTACTCCCTCTACCGAAGAGGTACCGAATATCTCTCGAAACCTTAACGAGTTAACCACTATTAAGGATAAAACACTTTATAACGCTTAAACTACCCTACCGGACCTTAATAATAGCCTTATAGCTATATAGGCTACTATCGAGAAGCTTTAACGTTTAAAGGACTTATAGGATTAAGTAGACCGCTTTAAATCTAAGGTTCTAGGTCGGAGCTATAACGATCTCCCGCCGATTCCCTACCGGGACCCCTTTTAGTCGTCTAGAAAAGACTAAGAGATTAAGCTTAAAAACCTACCTACCTTTACGCGGGACTATACTCTCTAGAAACGCTAGGAGTAGCTTCTTAACCTATAATAAATATTCGAGGGTGCTCTAAAGAAATACTATAACGATCGTACGAAGATCCTTAGGGCTATCAGTCATATAAACCTAACCTATCGGTAGAGGTAGTACCGATATACTAAAGAAAAAGGACCGACTCTCTCACGAGACCCTAAGGAAGACTAGCTTTACTTTAGGGATTAGACCCTAACTCTTATTAAGAATACGGCTAGCCTTAAATCGGATATTATAGGATAGCTTAAGAGAACCTACTAAGGCTAGGATAAAGACCCTCGCGAATTCTATATACGCCTAGACACTCTAGAATAATACTTTCTACGATCGGTAGAGAAGGAGAGAGCCCTTACCTTCTTTATAAAGCTTACTTTCGGCCTTTAAAATACTATCCGTCTCTACGTACTTAAGCTACCTAAGACACGCGAAGAGATAATCGACGTTACCTATCACTTCTAGGAATTAAATAAATCGGAGGCGGAACGTAAGCGAAAACGCGACAATAGGCCGTCGGATCCCTTACGAAAGAGAACCTTTAGGGATCCCTTATAAAAACCCTAATAAGATAGTCCTCCTCGCCTATAGAGAGGGGGTTACCGAGGCCGAGGATACCGAGGAAACGGTCGCTAAAGAGGTCGTTTCCCTAGCTATAATAACGGATTTACTCGCGAAATACTAGTAAGAGATAGCCGAATTACTTCCGACGAAGAATTAGATTATATTACCTATTATAGATATAGCGAGAAAGGATACTACGTTACCGACTACCCGAAAGGACCTTATAGGAAATCGGCTAAGGTATAGAACGCCTAGTAGGGAAACGGTAGCGAGACGGAGTAGACCCTATACCTTTATCTCTTCCTTTAGTAGGGTCTTATACTTACTTTTATATACTGATTACTATCCGAAACGATATCGAAACCTAGGCGGATCTCGATAGTAGAGCTAAGGTTAACCTTATTAGCTTCGAATTTATTAAAACCTATTAATTCTAATAAATAATACTAATAGAACTAATTATCCGTATTATTAATAATCGCTTAACCCTAACGTACGGAGTTTAGAGTATTCTAATAATCGTTACCGATTCGAGGGGTATTATACGCCGATTTACTCGCTCCTATATAGCGATTAATCGAGATCCCTAATTATCTAGAAGTCTAGTACTCCTCTCTATAATAATCCTCTATAACTACGATATATATATTACTAGACGAAGCGGTCTTTAGTGATTTAGAATACCCTCTATTAAAATTATACTAGCGAAGAAATTCGCGAAATAGACCTAAAACTATATATATATCTTCGCCGTAGTATATCTACCCGAAGAAATATAGCTACTAATTAATAGAGATACTACCGAAGAGCCGCCGAATCCTAACCGATTACTACCCGAACTTATAGAGGTTTATAACGCCTTTATATCTTAATATAACGATATCTTATCTTAATCTAATAACTACGACTACGTAATTAACCTACTACCCGATACCTAAGTGCTATACGGCCCTATCTACCCTTTATCTTAGAAGGAACTAGCGGAACTCCGCCGTTATCTCGACGAAAACCTTAAGAATAGCCGTATACGCGAGTCTAAAAGCCTAGCGGGGGCTCTAATCCTCTTTATACTAAAATCTAACAGAAGCCTACGTCTCTATATAGATTACCGGGGACTTAATAAGGTTTTAGTTAAGAATCGGTACCCTTTACCTCTTATTTCGGAGATTTTAGACCGGCTATCCGGTATAAAGATCTTTAGTAAGATCGATATCTAAGATACCTACTACCGAATTCGTATTAAGGAAGGAGATAAGTAGAAAATAGCCTTCCGTACGCGATATAGGAACTTTAAATATACTATTATACCGTTCGGCCTTACTAACGCACTAGTAACCTTTTAGAACTATATATATTTAACGCTTTATAACGTTCTCGACGTCTTTACGGTAGCTTATCTCGACGATATCTTAGTCTTTTTGTTAGACTAGGATTCCTATATAGACTACCTTCTTTAAGTGCTTAAACGGCTACGCTTAGTAGGTCTATACGCTAAATAAAGTAAGTACTTCTTCTATTAGGACTAGGTTGATTTCCTTAGCTTTATAATCTCCTCTAAGGGTATTTCGATAGATCCTTAGCGGGTTTCCGATATCGCTTCGTAGGAGGTTCTAAAGATATACCGGGAGATCTAGGTATTCCTAGGATTTTATAATTTCTATCGTAGATTTATCCGAAATTACTCTCGGATTACGCTTCCTCTTATAGGGTTACTAAAAGNTTACTCGCGAAATACTAGTAAGAGATAGCCGAATTACTTCCGACGAAGAATTAGATTATATTACCTATTATAGATATAGCGAGAAAGGATACTACGTTACCGACTACCCGAAAGGACCTTATAGGAAATCGGCTAAGGTATAGAACGCCTAGTAGGGAAACGGTAGCGAGACGGAGTAGACCCTATACCTTTATCTCTTCCTTTAGTAGGGTCTTATACTTACTTTTATATACTGATTACTATCCGAAACGATATCGAAACCTAGGCGGATCTCGATAGTA